CCTAAAGCTTTGACTGATATAGGCTTTTCATTTTTGTCTGTCAGTGAAGAAAGTAATCATAGGGTCAACTTATTTTGCCTATGAATAATTTTTCTCAGATGTGTTTATTTACTGAAAGCTACTAAAGCGATAATTAAGTTTATTAAATGCATTCACAATATGTATAGGCAACACATTCATTATTGATCGTATGCCTAATACAGGGCTGTAGACAGGGCTTTATTATCAAAGAGGGCCTAAATTTGAGGTTGGTAGGGGATTCAATTTTTCTGGTAAGTGCATTTCAAGACAATTGAAGACCAAAAAAAAGGATAAGAAATAGCTTTAAAACCATGTCAGTGGGCAGTAGATTATTTGTCAATACCTGCTCTCTCCTCATCTCCATCACTCTTTCTTTTTTTCTCAGTCTCTTCATCCCTTTCTCTTCCCCTCCGAAGGCTGCCTTGATAGCGCACGTACATCACAGAGACGTCTATTGGATGTGTGCGTTTACATCTGGAAGACGTATTTTTAAGTATAGGACATTTCCTGTCAGATGTCAAATAGACGTTTAGAAGATGTCTTTAAGATGTAATGATTTAGGATGTATGTGAAACTGACATCTTAAAGATGTCTATCAGATGTTAGTAAACAGCAGATGCTTTCCAGATGAAGGGATCTTTAACAGACATCTTGCAGATGTACGTGTGCTATCTGGGTGAGCTTTTTTAATGTACTAAAGGCTACAATTTGTATTATGTTCTCAATATCATTATTACTCTTGTGCCTAAAATGATGAAAACGGCTTAGTTAATGTTTCTTGTCCCCTCACAATGACAGCAAACTATTACATTACATGAGTCACGTTACATGGGCCTATTTTCAGTTCAAAATGGCGAAATTAGACAAAACTATATTAGTTTGCCGTACGCGGTGAGTCGCACTGTTAGAATTTGCGCGTCTGTGAACATAAAGCCCGCCTACTTTGATTTGTCATCTCAAATATTCTGACACTGACGAGCAGTGACAGACCAATGAGGCTCAGATGAACACACACACACAAACACTGTCCTCTGTTTCTGACGTGCTCTCTGCTCGGCACCGCTGCGGATTGAAGATGAAGAACGTGCTGAATCTGATTATAACAAGACTGAAGCGAACACAAATTTGTGTAATCACACATTTTTAGTGGGGCTAGGCAGAAGTTTAGGGGTGAAGCCCCCCTAAAAAGGGCCTAGGGACACCCCTGGGTGAGAGAACATTGTGCTTGGTATGTTTTTCATTTAGTGGTTGTTCGAACGCAGTCAACCACATTAATGGTCGAATGTTGAAGTATAATAAATTAATAGTTGGAGAGCCTTTGCCCTACGTGCAGATCCCTTTTCTACTTTTTGACCAATTTTACAACACACTATAATTAATTAATTAATCCATGTAATTTGATTGTTTAACCCCTTCATTGCTGTGTTTTTTTTCTTGCGTCATTGCTGATTGGTAGATTGTACCCCAAAAAAGCCCTCGCCGGCCCTCATTCATTTCTAAGGCGGTAATTTTTGAGTTTGACTCTGTGTGTGACTACTTTTTAGGACCATTTTACCTCTTCGAATCAAGTCCACAAGTGTAAGTGTGTTCACATATCAAGTGCCACAAAAAGCACCAAAAAAACAAACGTGACCAAAGAGCACCAGAGGGTTAAAACTATCTTTGTTACGTATACTGTATAACCAGTTGAAAAGAACTAGTGAAGATAGAGAGGCATTTAAAAATGGTATAAAAAAAGAAAAAAGAAAGAAATAGTGATCAATTTCACATATTCATATGATTTTTATCTGAAAATCTTGTTTTATCAAATTATAAATAAAAAAAGGACAGTACATCCACATACAACAACAGTTCTCACATAAAATATGTAATGTAGCCATAATCATAGAAACAAAAATATACATACATTTATAAAGCAAAGCATGCTTTTACACATATACACATATAGCACTATAATAATGGAGATTATTTTGATGCATTATGGATTTCACACAACTGATGGTAAAATACAGCCCCCTTGTGGGTGAATAAAGCATTACAATTTAGATTTTCACTCCATGGGAATTGAGGTCTGATATTTGTATTTTTTTTTTTTATTATTAATATAGCCTATTAACATTAACATTCCCATTTTATTTTAAGCAAACTAAAATGAACTATCAAGTGATAAATAGATTAACATGGCCTGTGAAATATTATTTTTGAGTCTTTGGAAAAGTGACCTCTCATATGAGAAATGAAATAATATAATCTTGTGTCTTACCTGTATAGTTACTGTCATCTGATGATGCACAAATATAAGGGGGAAAACAAGAGCAGCATTGTGTTAAACAGATCATTCATATTAATAATAAACATATATGTGAGTTTAATTGAAAGTTAACTCAAATCATATACACTCACAGACACAGAGTGGTTTAGGTGAGTCCCATTTGCCCAGTTTGGTACAGTGCGAGATATTGAAACCGTCCAATAGGAAGCCAGCATGACAGCTGTAATGCAGAACTGTGCCCTCTACTGGTTGTCCAGGGGGCTGCAGCGTCGCCCTCCCGTTCTCCAGAGACATCCAGGAACGCGAGCAAACCATTACTGAGAATTTCAGCAACACTTTTAGCACATGCTGACAAGACATCCTTTCAGCACATTTGTAGTACCTTGAAATTGCACAGCTTTAGTGTTAGACTTATAACACAATGATAATTACCGATACATTTAAATAAAATGCTATTTGTTTTATAGTATGGTTGTTTTAAGAAATTAATCTAATATACTGATTTGCTGCTCAATTGATATTGGTTCTATATTTTTAAAAATTTCAAAAAAAAAATTGAAAACAACTTTGACTGCTTAATATTTTTGTGAAAATCATACTTTTTTCAGGATTCTTGGTGTGAATATAAAATAAAATAAAAACGGCATTTATTTGAAATAGAAATCTTTTGTAACATTCTAAATGTCCCATTTAATGTGAATACAAGTGTTTATTTTTTTCTTACTTACCTCAAACTTTTGAATGACAGTGTGTCATGGTTTCCACAAAAATATCAAGCAGTAAAATCTATTTCGACATTGAACGAGGAAGACATTTTGAAATCTTTAGCATCAAATCAGCAAATTAGAATGATTTTTGAAGGATCATCATAGCTGGTGAAAATTCTTTTTTTTTTTCAAAGTATTAAATTAAATTTTAAACATATTAAAATAGAAAACCATTAGTATCCTACATGTATACTTACTAAATAAATTAACAAATGGACATACTGATTTCCAGTGATTTTTATTATGCGACAAGAAAGCGACTGTGGGGCACTACGAGAAATTGTTCAATTAGAGAGTTCACTTCATTAAACAAAAGCTCTTGATCTCAGAATGCTATTATTGACCAATCACAATCCAGTATTTCAGAGAGCTGTGTGATAAATATAGATATTAATCAATAGAATTGAAAAGCAAGGGTACTTACAGCATCTGCTGAGATGGTTCATGTCAGTCCAGGTGCCATCTGGGAGGCACTTTCGGACCTTGGGCCCCACAATAATTCTGCTTCCTCTGCAGATATATTCAATCTCATAGTCTACTGGCAAGATCTGCACACTGCGGATCTACAGAGAGAAAGAAAGAGAGACGTTTTGTAGATTGAATTAGAAGTTGCTAATGTTCAAAGTCCCATCAGAACTAACATTGATGTTCATGGCTGCCAGTTTAATGTGCTGCCAGAGACTTTTACCTGTTCCTGAGTCAGTCCTCTGTAGCGTATCCCTCCATCTCTGGGGGGACGAATGATTTCACATCCTGAAAGAGAGTAATAGAGATGGGGGAGGATGAAACGAATAGAGAGAATGACATGTTCAACTGATATATTATATTTGTCCCCTTACAAGACTGCAATGCACTGTTGGCTTATAAGGATTTTACTGGTACTGTGTCTATCAAAATAGAGTACTCATACCCTTTGGGTAATATTTAAAGGGATAGTTCACTTTAAAATTAATTTTTGATATGTTTTAGCTTTCCTGAAGGGCATCCAAGATGTAGCCGTCTTTGTTTTCGCAGTATTTTCAATTTTGACATTTTTCGGTCAAACCGTTCTTGTCTGTCAGTCATATAATGGAGGTCTATGGGGTCCACCTCAAAGAGCATGCACAGAGAAGTCAAAATTTATAGATTTAGATCTAGTGACTCGTAAATGTAAGTACACATTGATGGCCTAAGACACGAAACGAGCGGTTTGTGTGAGAAAACAAACAGTATTTATATCGTTTTTACCTCTTGTTAACAGCCACGTCCAGCTGATCTGAATCAGATGTCCAACTGAACCGAACTGAACCATATGACCATATCCAATGTTCCGCCGGAAGTGATCTCGTGCGCGTCTCAAAATTGTACCTAAGTAATGTACTCAAGTAAATGTACTCCGTTACTCTCCGGCTCTGACAATGTCACTTCTCTGTCTTTTACGGCCCTGACGAGAACGTCGCTCCTGGCAAATCCGCCGTTATAATAGCAATCCGCCATGGAACAAGCGCGCCTGCTTTTAAAGGGAATGTGAGAAGACCCTCTGATTGGTTTATTGCACGTTATGTCCAAACCACAATTATGAGTAATGTAGCTACTTCAGACCAACCCATTTTAGATTTGCCGAGATCTGCCCACAAACTTACTTGCGTTTCGCATTTGATACTTGCGTTTCAGATCGTTAAAATCAGGCCCTATGGGTGTAACCCCGGCATCCTGACCAAATTTGCCCAGTGTCCTCTGTCCATCATCATGGTCTCCTAAACATCCCCATCTAAGCGTCGCAGATCCATTCCGAAAGTCCAAATAAATTAACATTGCCATTTCCATTATCATTACCATGGCAATCTCTCTGAGAGTTGTCATGACAGAACTGAATGAATTGGTGTGGAACAAAAACTAATTGAATGAATGATTCAATGACTTGCTTTCAATCGCTTGATTTATTCCTGAATGAATCAGTATTGTTAAACAAATAGTTTTTAATCAATGATTAACACCGTAGCAACCGCCTAGCAACACCATAGCAACCACCAAGAGAACCCTAGCAACCACCCAGAACACCCTAGGAACCATCTAGCAACACTATAGCAACCACCTAGAATACCCTAGCAACCAACTAGCAACCACCCAGAATACCCTAGAAACTGTATAGCAACACCCTAGCAACCACCTAGCAACACCATATCAACCACCCAGAATACCCTAGCAACTTCATAGCAACCCCCAGAACACCCTAGCAACCACCTAGCAACAGCATAGCAACCACCCAGAACACCCAATCAATACCCTAGCAATAACCTAGCAACCACCCAGAACACCCTAGCAACTGCCTAGCAACACCATAACAACCACCCAGAACACCCTTGCAACTGCTTAGCCTCACCATAGCGACAACCAGAATACCCTAGCAACCACTTAGCAACACCATAGCAACAACCCAGAATACCCTAGCAACCACCTAGCAACACCACAGCAACAACCCAGAACACCCTAGCAAACGCCTAGCAAACACCCTAGCAACCACCCAGAATACTATAGCAACCGCCTAGGAACCACAATAGCAACCACCCAGAACACCCTAGCAACTGGGTGGTGAGTTTTGCCACTGCAAGCACCACTTCACATTTTCTTCTGGATTTAGTTTTTATCTGTGATGTAATAAAAAATAACGTGATCAGATCACATTTGATGAATGTTTTTTTTTTTTTTCGATTTAGTTTAGCGATGTGGGGATGACACAATCTAAAACACATGGCAAAAAAGCATAGACCAGACTCGAACCGGAAGTTGACAACCGACGTCGTCGTCATGGCAGCGCGCATTGTTTAGAGCAGAAAAAGGTGGATAGGCCTTGCAAGGGGTATGATGTAAACCTATGAGATGAACTCTACATGACATGAACTGAACTGTATGACACTTTGATTTACCAAGATTGTGTAGGCTACATATTGCTTTCGCAATGAAAAGGAGATCTGACACTGCAATCCATTTTTTTTTTCATCTATAGCTCCGACATGACATGATCCCACGAGGACTGAGGGCAGATTGCTCTAAATCTAAACAGAATGCCCTCTTATCTCACAAAGCAACAGAGGTGGGTCACTTTAGACATTCTGTGATGTTAAATTCAACCAGACATTGTCCACACACACACACACACATTACCTCCAGTCGTTGAATTATGTATGGACGAGATGAGAGTAGGAAGCAAGTAGAAAATTACAAGAAATAATAGCTGCTCCATTACTGCATCTGAACAAGAATGAGAGAGAGAGAAAAAGAGAGATGACTAATAATATGCTTGATTTCAGCAGGTCATAATTCACACACATTTCAACCCAATTAAAACTGCTCATGGCTTGACAAGATCTTGTTGGCATTAAGATGTGTTAAACATAATAATAACCTGCTGTCTCGTTTAATTACACCATGCACGGTCATGGAGGAGGAGGAGGGGGAGGAGGAGGAGGAGGGGGACTCGTGGAACATGGAGGCAGTTTGCCGTCCCTACACTGTAAAGATTTTATGAGCTTTCCCTCAACCACTCTTAGAGAGGAAAAGCACATCCAGGGTGGGTCAAACGACAGCATGCAACACACAAACATAAGCAGACGGATCTAACAAAGACACACACACACACACACACACACACACACACAAACACACAGCTTCTTATAAAGACATTTCAAGAGGACAAAGCATCGAACAGAGAGTGCTTTCATCAATATTGACTTCTGTATTGAATACACTTCAACCCAGAGGTCAATGTGGATGGATAGATGGATAGAAGACAGATGGATGATAAATGGATGTATAGATGATAGATGGATAGATGATAGATAGATGGATAGATGATAGATGGATAGATAGATGATAGATGGATGTATAGATGATAGATGGATAGATGATAGATGGATAGATAGATGATAGATATATGATAGATAGATGGATAGATAGATGATAGATAGATAGATGGATAGATGGATAGATGGATAGATGGATAGATGGATAGATGGATAGATGGATAGATGGATAGATGGATAGATGGATAGATAGATAGATAGATAGATAGATAGATAGATGGATAGATGGATAGATGGATAGATGGATAGATGGATAGATGGATAGATGGATAGATAGATAGATAGATAGATAGATAGATAGATAGATAGATAGATAGATAGATAGATAGATAGATAGATAGATAGATAGATAGATAGATAGATAGATAGATAGATAGATAGATAGATAGATAGATAGATGGATAGATGGATAGATAGATGATAGATAGATAGATAGATAGATGGATGGATAGATGGATAGATGATAGATGATAGATGGATAGATGGATAGAAGATAGATGGATGATAGATAATAGATGGATAGATGATAGATGGATAGATGATAGATGATAGATGAATAGATGGATAGATGGATAGAAGATAGATGGATGATTGATGAATAAATGGATAGATAGATAGACGGACGGACGGACGGACGGACGGACGGACGGACGGACGGACGGACGGACGGACGGACGGACGGACGGACGGACGGACGGACGGACGGACGGACGGACAGACAGACAGACAGACAGACAGACAGACAGACAGACAGACAGACAGATAGATAGATAGATAGATAGATAGATAGATAGATAGATAGATAGATAGATAGATAGATGATAGATGGATGATAGATGATAGATGGATGATAGATAGATGGATGGATGGATGGATGGATAGATGGATGGATGGATAGATGGATGGATGATAGATGGATGATAGATGTATGGATGGATAGATGGATGGATGGATAGATGGATGGATGATAGATGGATGATAGATGTATGGATGGATAGATGGATGGATGGATAGATGGATGGATGATAGATGGATGATAGATGGATGGATGGATAGATGGATGGATGGATAGATGGATGGATGATAGATGGATGATAGATGTATGGATAGATGGATGGATAGATCATAGATGGATGGTTGATAGAGGGATAGATGGATATATGATAGATGGATAAATGATAGATAAATACTGTAGACAGATATACAGACACAGAAAGATAAAGATGGAGGGAGAGCTTTGGGGACTCCATGGGAAAGAGACAGGAGATGATTCGGGAGGTGAGGATCGGAGGGATCAGTTAAACTTTAAACATGTCTCTACAGCACTCCACCTCATTAATTCAGTACGGCACAGCAGCGGAGCATGACACTTCGGAGATTATAGTAATCCAAACACGCACATGACGAATAGGAAGCACTAACAACGATTGGTTTGCATTGCACTGTTGAACAAATACGTTTTTGGCTTTTTTGATTATCCTATTGTCCCTTCATATTTTATCTATGTCCCTTCATATATTTTATCTTAATTCAATTTTAGCTGTTTAACAGTACTGTTAAACAGCTAAAATTGAATTAACTTTAATTTTAACAGTACTGTTAAACAGCTAAAATTGAATTAAGATTTTATAAAACTGTGGCAGCTGCATGAATGTGATATTTTCTGAGTGGATTTGTTTTGTTTTTTTATGTTAAAACAGTTGTTTGGATTTATATTAAGAATATTCTTTATTTTTTCCTTTTACAAAAACTTTCAAAATATCTCAAATGTTGGTATGCTCAGAAATCATTAGTCTTCTTCATTGGTTCATAAATGCATTATTTTTTAAATTATTATTATTATTATGAGTTATTATTTTTGTCTTGTTAAATGTCCGAGCGGTGAATTTATATTTGATAAATTAAGAATTTCATTAGAAACCCTCTTATTTTCCTTTTTAAAGATTATAAACAAATCAAACAAATGTTTTTTATATGATAGCTCTCACATGCTCAAGTCATTTACTCTTCTTCCATTTAGGCTACTTACATTTATCAGATATGAATCATCTTTCTGCTATATATTCTTTTGACATTAAATCACCCTTTTTATACTTCCTTCTGACTTTTAGTCAACAATGAATAATAATTTGCACCATTGCACTAATATCTTATATTTCAGATGTCAAACAGTAAAAATGCATCTCCACAAGACTGATATAGTGTCATGAATGTGATATTGGCTCGGTTAAGGCTTTGGAGAAATATTTTCAGCACCAAGGACAACTCCTTTCAGCTGGTCCCCGTAATGATTCACCACTACTGCTTTATTATTCGACTGTTGTGTTGTATAATATGACATGAAATATGACGCTTTCTGGTCTAAAAATATATGTTGTCGTGGGGGATGATGTTTCCCTGAAGTTTAAATATGTACATGGCTGCGAATGTCGTCCGCGTCTGTAGTTAGTCTACTACACCTTTAAGCGCACCGTTTGTGAAGTTTTGTGTCCCGTGCAAAGCATACTTCGAGTTCGGTTCGTTAAACAAAACATATCTGTCAGACGTGCACGAGAAAACAGCCTTGACCGTGAGCCACTTCTTCAAATAAAACACATGCGAAACACAAACGAAACTCAAACAAGCGCAGACATCGTGTTAAAGTGTTTTACTCACAGTAAAGGCCCGGTGCAGCTTCAGCAGGACCGACCCGAAGAAAAGAAACACAATTTCCGTTCAGTGAGAGTTTAAATGGAATACCCACACATAAGCCCGATGCCGCTTTGATCTCGCGAATCTGTGCATCACATTTGCGGATTGCTTTATGGCTTTTAGAGAGGGGCTTGTATTGCTTTGCGTTAGATCATCGCAGATATAAATCACAGGCTACATAGAGTAACATTATCTTCATAGCGCTCATCCTTCCTCCTTCCTTCCTTCCTTCTTTTTCCACTCCCTCCTCAATCTCACTTACTTGTGACGTAACGGGGGAACGCAGCGTACGTCATTTCATCCTTGAATCACGAGGCATCTTCTGTACTCACTCAGTGTATAGGCTATAATTGTCAACTACTTTTATACTTGTATTATTTTTTTCTCTCTCGATGACGGTCTCTCTAGTCTTTTTATTATTTATTTTATGTATGTTTTTCTCTTTCTTATTTTATTTGTGTTTTATAATGTTGTTATGTGGATAATTAAAATACATTTAAATGAATTATTTACCCTGTTTTGTATTTTTTCGGTCTCTTTCATATTGTTTTTTTTATTAGTATGTGTCAATTAATTAATAATTAATTACAATAGTTTCACCAATTATTGAAATTACAAACATTTACATAATAAAGAAAAACAGTTCTTAAAGGGACAGTTCACCCAAAAATTCTGTCAACATTTACTCACCCGCATGTTGTTGCAAAGTTGTTCTGCTGAACGACAAAAGATCATCTTTTGAAGAATATGGGTTACCAAACAGTTGATCCCACCGACTTAGCATAAGAAAAAAAAGGGTGAGTAAATGAAGACAGAATTTCCATTTTTGGGTGAACTATCCCTTTAAGACCAAGTTCAAAAAACCCTTTAAATCATTAATTATTTTGTCCTGTAGAGCACCCAATTGGCCTTATGCACAGCTGCACTACTTCCTGAACTTTAGCCAGCTCCTTGTTTCCTGTCTGCCATTATTGGACAAATTGATTAATTCAGGTGTGCCTGACCTCAGTAATCATGGCAACAATAATCAGACACACCTGAATTAATCAAGTTTGTCCAATAATGGCAGACAGGGAAACAAGGAGCTGGCTGAAGTTCAGGAAGTAGTGCAGCTAAGCCAATTTTATTCTCAACAGTCACATTTGCCCTCTATTTCAATAAATATTTATAATATTTATTTTAAACCCTTTGTTTACCAAGCTTTGCAGATGAATATGCACAAACAGTTAGATATAAATTTTATATTAGTTTTCCCTTTCTACAGGATTGTCTTCTGTTCCTCTAAGCTATTCATTATGGGCACAGTCATCTATTTATACTTTGCTCTTTAATAATTGAGAAGAAATGAATCTTTCCAAAGAGTCTATTTTCAAGACGATCTTCACTGTAAAAAATGAGGTGTTAGCAGAATGAAGTTAAATGAATGAATGAACTAAAAATGTAAATTCTGCCTTCATTGACATATTTGGATGACCAAGTAACTAAAATAGAATGTTTAACTTTAGTTCTATGCAAATTGCTCTTAAGTTTTAAAAAGTTTAATATAATCATGTGTTCTATGATAAATACCCTGGAACAAAATGCATAATTAAACAACACATCATAAAACACCACCTCACACACAGACCTTAAAACACTCTTAAAAATAAACGTTCCAAGACAGATTTTGTCTATGAACCAAAACAGTTTGGTTTTGGTTTCCTTAGTGAAGAACCTTTTTCCACTGGAAAGGTTCGGTGGATGTTAAAGGTTCTTCATGGAACTGTGTGTCAATAAATAACCTTCTCACTGCAGATATGATACACTTTTTTTAATGAACCAACAAGCAACTGTTTGCCATTTTGACGAGCTTGAGCTTGATCCTCATATTAAAATAACCAGTAAGTTGTTACACTGTAAAAAATATATACGTTTCAGCTTAAAAAGTAGGTATCCGTGTGGTCTTAAAGGAATAGTTCACTTTTAAAAAAAACTTTCGCAGATAATTTACTCACCCCATGTCATCCAAGATGTCCATGTCTTTCTTTCTTCAGTCGAAAAGAAATTAATGAAAACATTATTTTTCATTAATTAAGGTTTTTGATGAAAACATTCCAGGATTTTTCTCCATATAATGGACTTTACTGGTAACCAAACAGTTCAAGGTCCAAAAAACAGTTTCAGTGCAAACTGCAAACTGTTCAAAGGGCTTTAAACGATTCCAGACGATGAATAAGGGTCTTATCAAGCGAAACGATCGGCCATTTAAAAAAAAAAATAACAAAGTTTAAGTTTTATAAGCTCAAATGATCGCCTTGCTCTGTTCTGTGATGCACATTCTGTAAAGCCCTTTGAACAGTTTGCAGTTTTGGACCTTGAACTGTTTGGTTCCCAGTGAAGTCCATTATATGGAGAAAAATCCTGGAATGTTTTCATCAAAACACTTAATTTCTTTTCGACTGAAGAAAGAAAGACGTGGACATCTTGGATGACATGGGGGTGAGTAAATTATCAGCAACATTTTTTTTAAAGTGAAATACTACTTTAATTTTAAATTTAGTCAACTTGAAATGTGTAATTTGAAACGTGTTTTTTGAACGAATGTGCTAAGTATTTTATGTAAGCTCAAATTAATTGCCCCACCGGGATTAATAAAGTTCTAAACTAAAAAAAGAAGTAATTGTACGAAGTGACAACTATTTGAGTTGAGTAAACTTAAAAATTAAACTTAAAACTTTTGTTACACGTCAAACGCATCACACACATGGCCAGCGTCGGCCAATAGTGAGCCTACGTGTGGCGTGAAATACAGAAGCGTTGCGCTGCTACACTACATGAACCATCTCGAGGCCCACAGAGAAGGAAAAGAATAGTTGAAAAAAGTTGTTATTTTTGTTTTATTGCGCACAAAAAGTATCGTCGCCTGATAAATTTAAGATCGAGCCACTTTAGTCACTCAGACTATTTTAACGATGTCTTTAACTTTTCTGGGCCGGCAAGATTCAATCCCTTAAGAAGCCTATGAACTAGTAAAAATATCTTAATTTGTGTTTATCTGAAGATGAACGAAAGTCTTACGGGGTTGACAAGATGAGGGCGAGTAACTGACAGAATTTTCATTTTGGGGTGAACTATCCATTAGTAGATTAGCCAATAAACAAAACATATATTATCAAAATATATCAAATGTTATAAGGCAGGAAAAGGTAAAAAGGGAATAGTCATAATCAGATTGCACACAGACCAGGGCAAGGAAAAATATTTTCGTCTCTTTCTTTTTCAGCATCTAAACAGCTCAGGTATACGCAGATGCTGTGTAAAAACTGACAGGATGGTACAAGTTGCCAGAGAAAGAGCAAAAGGATGACTTCAGAGAGAATAAATTACAGTCAAAGTCTTACTTCAGTCATCTGCTGGAGCTTCACTTTCATATCAGAGAGACCGTGCACCTTCTCTGCCCTTGATGGTGGCAGTTTATTCAAATCAGGATTTTAATCATAAACCTGAATTGTGATGAGTCCTGCAGGTCCACCAGAGAATCTTAACATTGGGAAAAACTTTTGGAGGATTGTAGAGAAGTTAATCACGACACATGCACAAAGTTTAGGGAGTCAATGACTGCTGTAATAACTGATTACACTGTAGTCAATGTACGCTTTATTTCCTGTGAGCTTTGTGTTTTTCTATGCATTTTTTGCGTTTTCATTATGCATTTTGCATAATACAATAAAACCCATATTTAATTATATGCTGGAGTTTGCCTTTCTTGCCAAATAATTTTGTAATTTTAATATCTTAACCAAGTTTAGTGTATTCTTCATTCCAATATAAAGTACTGCTCATATATTGTTTAATTGAACCTAAACCCTCCAGACTGTACAGTATATGTCAAAAGTTTGAAAACAATAAAAAAGTTTCATGTTTTTGAAAGACCAAGGCTGCATTTATGTAATCAAAAATAAAACTTTTAATTTGTAATATTTTGCAATACTACAGTTTTTACAGGATCTTTTGATTAAATAAATGCAGCCGTAGTGAACGTAGTGGATTTTTTTTTATTGATTCTCTTATTTTTTTAAATGTTTTTAACCGGAACTCTATGCATATACAAACCCTATCATACTAAATGCGTCTCTATAACACGCAGTGTGTTTATCATGCAATTTATACGCGAAAATGAGTTTTTACGTGCATAGGAGACGAGTTGGTTGGTTAGGGTAGGTTTAGTAGTGGTGTGGGGTGCGTGTGTATTATAAGTTTGTATTAGTGGTGTGGGATGCGTGCGTATCAAATGCACCCAAAAAACTGCGTATCATATGCACGTAAAAACTTTGCGTACAAATTTTAAAATTTTAATTTTCGCGTATAAATTGCATGATAATACGCATTTACGTGAGAATGCCCACATGATCTTAATATCACAATTTCTTACTTGAGTTTTAAAAAGTAGATACTAAAATAGAACTAAAATAGAACAAAAAATAAATAAATCTCCAAAATAATATAAATTCATACATATACATTTATTGTTCCATCAGACATCACCAATGTGCACATCTTCACACAGAACATGTTAAACACAACAATATAAATATAATAATATCAAAATAGCCAAGATGTATAAAGCACACTGAATGAACAAAGACTCTCGGATAATCAGCATTTAAAGACACTTGAAATTCATTAAATGGAAAATAAATTCTGAAATATAGAAAAGTGATTGTCTTAAACATCAAAATGATCAGCAGCCGGTGTTTTACGAACCCTGCACTGAGAATAAAAATCACTTCATTTCTCCAACTTCATAAACTCTGTACTTCTGTCATAATCAATGTTTCTTCTGATAAAAAGGCCGGAGCGCACTAACGCAAATGAGACGGACATAAACCAAACCTCATGCGTGCATTAAGAACTATAGGATTTGATTGGAAAATATATCGCAGTATGTCAGTACAGTATGTCACTAGGGCACAAAGCACTTTTTGTAAACCACTATTTCTAAGTCAGCATGGGACTAATATATTCAAATAAAAAGGGCTTTGACATAACTTAAGAAAAAATGTCAGTGACATTTTAGAGCCTAGCATTAGCTAATGATTAATGGCATTTTACCTTTAAAGAGTGATTATGTCAGTAAGAACTAAAGTTCATCAGCGGTCAGTAAAATCCGATAAGACTAAAATAATTTTATCTTGTCAGCTATAGAGACTATAATAAGAAGAATGAGTGTATAAGACACAGTTTTATACATTTGCATAGAAAAATATTAGGTGCTTAATAGGATGAAAAAATATATTTGTTGTATTTTATAATTAAGTGGAATAGCAGGGTTACTAGCCTTGCAAATATCGTCAGTCTTTTACCACTTTATTTGAGATACTCAAACAGGACAAACTTCTCATGTGATGGTTGGGTAAAAAAAAATAATTTAAAATAATTATTATTATCATCATCATCATTCTCTTTTGTCTTTCTCCTTTTCAAGTACTGATAAAAAGGCTCAACAATAAATAATATTTAAGAGTTGCTCTGTCAGTCAAGAAACACCTTCCTCGTGTAAGGAAAACATGATTCATGGATGCTCTCATAAACTGACACTTCTCATGTGTTGTTTGAGAAACTCCTCTGAAATGTCTAACTTTTTAGGACATTTTTTACCGTTCTCCATCTCGTCTCTCTCCCCTTCCTCCCCTGAGAGACTGACGTTGCTGCTGAGATGACCGAGGTGTTCGACTGAGTCATACTTTCCAAGATCGGAGATGATGGTCTGGAAGCTGACGTTGGAAAGAGAGTCTGAACCAGATCTGGTCACCTCAGCTCTTCCCATGTCCACCCACCTGGAGTTTTGATGCGTCTCCACCCACTCTCTGGTATTAGTCACGCCTTCTTTCCCATCCAACCAATCGCTTGGTCTCGGGTAGCCTCCACAAGCTCCGCCTTCGGTACCCGTGCTGCTGATTGCCTCTGCTCCAACAGGAGGGCTCCGCCCACCGCACGTTTTGATTGGTCCGTCCTTTGCTCGCTCCTGCTCCCTCTGGGCATGAATCTCCTCGCTGATTTGTTCCAGGTGGCGCAAGGTGCTGGAGTAGTTCAACTTGGCTTTGGAAATATGTTCCTCCAACTCTAAAATTTTTGACTTGTGCTCCTGCAAAAACATTGTTGACTTCACATATTTTAACTGTGAATGGCGAATAGTAAATCTTAATAAATCAACCACACACCATATTAATCTACGGTAAATAAAAATTGTCATCATTTACTCACCTTCATGTTGAGCTATGGGGTTTTATATATATATATATATATATATATATATATATATATGTGAGTGTGTAACTGGAAATAAATATAAACTAACTAAAACTGAAATTAAAATAAATAAATAGATAGCAACATTATTATTAATGTAAAAAAGCACATTACAAAATGACAAAAAAAATATTAATAACATTCCAATAAAAGAGAATAAAAAAATAAGCTATTTTTAGGAATTCAGAAGTCTTGAAATATTGCGCAAAAAATAAAAAAATAAAAAAAGAAGTAATATGGGTTTGGAAGGACATAAAGGCGAGTAAATGATGACCGGATTTTCATTTTTGGTTAATCTATTCATTAAATTTGACTAGGTATGGCCATATTTTTCAAAACCAACACCATACATTGGCATCCTTTGTAAATATGAGCAAAACTTACTAACTATGAAAGGGGGCTAAGATTAAGTTTTTTTTCTGGCAGTGTATGTAAATATGATATGAGATGCAACTTCAATAAGCTAAACTAAACATTATAAGAAAAGATCCATAGCTGTCATCTTGGCAAAGAGAGGTTGCACAAAGTATTATTGAATATCTTGAATGAAAAACTAATTTTTGATCAATTTCAAAAATAAGTTCACACACAGTTCTGCTCATATTTACCAAGGCTGCCGATATTTGTGGAGCCCACAGTACAACTGTAATGAGATCGCAACACACCTCTAGGATGTCATTGAACTGAGCCTTAAGCTCGAAGTAAGACTTGGACTTCATGATGGATCTCTTCAGTGACTTCTGCAGCTCCTGCACGTGGGCTTCGGCCTCCTGACACAGCTGGGTGACACGCATGTGCTCGCGTTCACTCTTCATGCGGTCCTCCTCCGCCTCGTTCACCTGGACACCCCAGATAAAGTTTTTTGAACTGGACCTTGTTCTCTTTGTACTTGCAAATTCTATGGGTAATATGGGGGGTTAATTGTGCATTTGTTACATATTGTTATGTACATAAACAGGCTTTTGTTTGTGCAATGAGCACATGCTTGTTATTTTTAAGGCATGAAAATTGCAACAAACCACACACAAACATGCACATTAATGAATTTATATATATATATATATATATATAAACACACACACACACACAATGTACTTGCAAAACTATGCAGAATGCTATTATGGTACATTAATCTGTCAAGTCAGCTCAGTAAGAAAACATGCTCAAAGTTCGTTAGGTTAGAAACTTAACTGATTGATAGCACTTGATAAGAGAAGCTGAGGGAAAGAGGGATACCTTTGAGGTAGCATGATTCAACATCTCTTGCCAGGTTGGATCCAGCGTCTTGACTGCAGTGAGGCCCTGTTCAGCCACATGGACCATCTCTCGAGCAGCCGAGTGCATGGACACCGCTCTCTCAAAGCTGAGCGCGGCTTTCTGGGTCTCCTGCTGGGCCTAAGAAGAGTGAAACCAATCATATTGTAGAGAAGAGACAATAGGATTTTATCAGGTGAATGATGTGAGGATAGCCTTTGGAACACAGGCCTTTTTCCAGAAGGCTAAACAGAGAGTGTGTGCCCGGCTACCTCCTTTGCTTTCCTGCGTGCCTCATAGTAAGGCCTGGCCTTCTCGATGCAGGACCCCAGTTCTGAACTTTTCGCCTTGAGTTTAAGCACAGATTCATTCATTATCCTCCTGTGGCTGGACCGAGACTCCTGACAACAAAAATAGACACTATTCACAACAAGTTAATAATAAAATAAAGTGTGTGTATCAAGCAAGACCAATTGTTACTGGTACTCTTGTTTGGCATCCAAGAGAGAAAATCATAAATCATATAATCTGCATTATATAGGGACTAAATAATATTATATAAGACTAAAACCATAAAATATAAACATTTTTGTTACTTGAAATAAAATAAAAGTTATCTGAAATAAAATACTTTTAAAAACTATTTATTTCAGCTAGTTGCAAAGAGGGCAACATTTCCTATTTTCATTTTGTTTGTCTTTATGCACTAAAACTGATATAAAATTAATAAAAACTACATAGACGTATGTAAAAAAAGACAACAAAAAAATATAAAAAGGCCACATTAAAATTACTAAAACTTTAACATTAAAATGAAAACAAAATATAAAAAAAAACCTAACTCAGAATATTAATAAAAACTATTATAGCATCTCAATGATACTAAAATAACACTATGCTTAATGTTTAATAATCAAGCTAGGCTAGTAGCAGAAAGGTTGCTGAGTGGATCCCAAGTATAGTCTATCTAAATCTTAAGATTATAATCATGTACACTGAGTGTACTCATTCTTGATTAAAAGTGTCAAGTGTTTAGTGCCGCAGTTCACTCTGAAAAAGCATATCTATGAGAAATCAAGATCAATAAAAACGCGACATGAAATACACTCCATTTTATTCTTCGTAACAAGGAGTTATTGCGTTCACATGCTGTCTGTCATCGGACAAACAAGAGTTACAGTCTGGAGATGATCAGACAAAGATTGTTTTTTTTGGGTGAGTAATCCCATGAACAGCCATGGACCGAAGACCACCTTCCAAGGTCAGGATTTTCATTAAATTGCCAAACCCTATCACATACCCCCAAAGCACTAGGAATATACAGCATTGCTGCATGGGACCATTTTGTGAAACTTTTGCTTGTTTTGTTTTTTTAAAGCTTAATGTTGGTCGATATATGCATGAGCACGAGTGGTAAATTTTCTCCTTTTGTTGTCCGAAAAACAACTGTATACTGCATTACAACAACACCAGGGTGTTTTTTAGGGTGAACTATGCCTTTCAAAACACACATACTTGGAGTTCCAGTTCCATCTTGTTGATCTCCTCGCTGGTCTCATTCAGGCGCTCTAGTTCCTCCTGGACACAGAAACACAGCAGATGACAGGTTAATGATCATCGGTGTTGATTTAAAAGTTTGTGGTTCAATATAAAATAAGGGAAGACCCATAAACCGACGATTTTTTGAGATTATAATAACTACATTAAAATACATTTGGTAAAACTTTATAATAACGAACATTATTATTATTATCTAATATATATATATATATATATATATATATATATAGCATAAGGGAATAATATAACGGGTGATTTTATGACATAATAATAATACTGAAATAATAATAAAAAAACATGTTTGTCTAAATGTTTGATTGATAGCACATAAACAGAAATGTCAATTTTATTTTGTTTAACGTTACATCCATTCATAACTTAACGTCCACGAACTTCAAATCTGTCAAAACATATTTTTTAATGAATTAATAATTTGCAAAAGAGACACAAGATATTTAATAGCTTGCTCGTGGACGGCTTGGTTTTGAATCAAAAATCTGAATCAATAACTTCCATGAACAGTGTTGTAACTTTCACATGTCAGTGTACCTGTATTCTGGGATCCAGTTCCTCCTCGGTCTGTTTACCATTAAGTGAGTTTTCATCTGGACATGCTGATCTCTCGCAGTCCTTCCTCTCCATCTCTGTTTCCTCGGATTCCCCATCAGCTTCTCTGCCGTCATCAGTCACCCCTTCATCCGTCTCATTTCCTCCTCTCTCCTCCACTGAAGTTGCTCCTGAACCCGCAGGACTTTCACGCAAAGCCGCTGGATCCATTTACAGGCCTCTATAGATTATCTGTGATCAAATGTTGCCGATTAACAAGGCGCAAACTATCAGATCGAAAGCGAAAAAGAGAGTTAACGTCCCTCTTGTCTGTATATTTTAAATGTCTTTGCCTTTCTTCGTTTCTTTGGTAACGTTACTTAACTTTCTCGCTATTGCAAAATGACTAACGTTATCAGCAAATAAATAAACCGGACTGACAAGTTTAAAAGTTCCATTAAAGGTAATATGGAGATTACATGACCAAAAATCGTCTAAGGCCATTCATTGTCACAAATTTAATTTACCCCATGGTGAACATCGCATTGCTTTCGCCATTCAATACTTCGAAATGAGATACAGGCGTGAGGTAAATAGAAAACGCGAAACCAAACCTTTTAGGACTTTCTGGGTTACTGTAGTCAACGTTATGTAACGTAATGGCGTAGGTGAGCATTTACGTATGTAACGAGTCTTTTGTGTGGCTAATAATAATTTTTATAGAAAATGAGACACTTGATTAAATTTAACAAAACATTTATTTTCCTCTCAAAAATCCCCGTATACAAGTAAAACACCAAAACATAATCATGTTTTTTTTCACAATGTTATGAACCATACAGATGATTTAATAATAAAGACAGTCCACAGAGGTGAATCAAAACATCCTATATTTAAAGGCACTTAGAGCAGTATTCACAATTAAAAAAAAAAATAAGAGTTACTTTTTTTAATCATATTTCACCCTAATTTTCAGTTCCTAAACAAACATACGTTGTGTGACAAATGTATAACAGGTCATATAAGATTTCAGTTTAATCTGTCAGTGTAATGGAGCGACTAATCAAAGTTCTCACGTAAATGCTAGTTGACATTATATATACACATAATGAAACCTGAGGAAAAAGTCTGTTATTGTCTTTGGCATCATATTATCTTCATCCTGAAACCCCTCTGGAAGTTTTTCCATCATAAAGCAGCATAATGGATATTTAAGACAATTGCTCTCATGAATGATGTGAAGGGAATGATGGTAACAGATAACATGCTATATTATTTTCATGTATTTTGCACCTTAAAAAAATAAATCTTGAGAGGTAGGCACAGCCCACCTCAACTCCAGCTTGGATCATATTGACTCCAACCAGCAGGTGGAGCTAAATAGACTCTCTTTCCACGAAAAAGGAAACTGACAGCACCTCTATACCCAGCTCGTGGGACTCCTGACTTCAGGTCGTCCATTACGCCAAGACTGCGAGCCAATGCTTTAAAACGATCAGGACTAGAATACTGCACCCGAAAGGGGCCAGACCCAGACAGTTTCCCACTCTGCAAATCTTCCACAGTGACAACCGGAGCCCCGTAAACCTCCTTCTCAAAGCTCTCATCATATTTATTCTTTTCTAAATAAGACAGGTCCATTTTTGTAAAAGGCACAAATTCAGTATTGAGCTTGATAAAACGGAGGTACTTGTCGTAAAACTGCCCCAAACTCACACCCTTCCTGCCGAATGTTAAAGTTCTGGATATTTCAGGCCTGATGCAGGACCTGTCTCTGCGTTGATCGGGGTGCCGCATCCAGTCATCCCAAAACGAGGCCGGCCATTTTGGCTCAAGCTCTGCCCAGAGGTCCTTTGTGAGCATCCAGCCTAAGCCTGGGAAAAAATCTGTCCTGTACAACAGGCTCGCTTTTCCAGGGTCCACAAATCCTTCCCGGCCATTGTCATTCCAGGCAGACACGCACCACAGAGTTGGGTCTGATTTTAAAATTGGATGAAGTGATCTGAAGTACTCAAAAAAATCTGAGGACACCTGGTGAAAAATAGAGCAAACACACCATCAACAAAATAAAATGTGAATGGGACATTCTTAAAGAGTAACTAAACCCTAAACCAACTTTTTTTAGTTAATGATCTGTAAGAATGGATCTTTATTAATACCAGTCATTGATTCGAGTAACTTTTTTGACATTTGTGTATAAAGTGTTTTATTTCTACAATATATGGTGTAAAAACGTCTTAGTGCTGTCCTCTTCAGGTTGAAGGGTGGCTACTGCAGTTGAATTTTCCTATTGGATGTTCCACACTTCGTGGGCACGCCGGTTTCAGCTCACCACGCTCTTGGTACGAACAATAGTATAAAAACCAGCTTGTTTCGTCAAAACCAGTAAGGAGTTGGAATTGTGAGTATTGAAAACGATCAGGATAGAGAGTTTTAGCATCTATTTCGTCCCCTCTATCTCCGCTGGGGTCTGCCCACTTTTTCAGCATTTTTCAAATATTGCCAGTGGGTGGAGTCAGGCTCTGACCAGCGGTTTAGTTACCCTTTAAAGGAATACATTCACCCCCAAAATGATACACAAAAGGAGACATTCAGAAAATTGTGCTGAAGCATTCAAAAATGCAAAACACATCTATATAAGTATTATAATGTGGTCCCTATGGCTAAATGCCAAGTCTTCTGAAGTTAACCAATGGCTTTGTGTCCCAATCAATTGGAAAATTAGCTAATTATTCACTGAAAATCTTCTCCTCCAGTGAAGTGATACTCTGAAAGATCTGACTGAAAATAATTATCTATTCACAAATAAGACATTGCGTCTTCTCTTATGAATTTTGAACAATACCCGTTCTTCTCTTAGGGCAAATATTGACTATTGTGTATATGTATACACACACATTCACAAAAGCGTGTGTGTGAATATGACTTGGAAGTAAATATAAAAATGCATAAATAAATTGTGCAGACACATACAAAGCTATTTTATGACTTCACAAGATTTAAAATATAGTACAAGAGTCTTAGCAATCATTTTCAAGATACTTTTTTATGCTTTTACGGTTTTATTAAAGCTTGAAAAATTCAGTCTACTTTCACTGTATTGCATGCTTAAAAAAGTATTAAGGCCATTGCACACTGAGTACAAAATGTTCGTATGCGTTTTTTCGTATTCGTGATTCGGTGGCTCTGAATTCAAAACACCATTCAAACTGCTTGCTACGGATGCGAAAAACGCAGAAAATCAAACCCGATTAGATTTTTTTATGACGGGCGAAAGTTTCGAAGGCATTGTGCAAGCGTCATTGACATACCATAAGGTCGTATTTATTTTTTAACGTGCGAAAAATTCCGACGCGAATTTTGGACTCATTGTGCAAGGGCCTTTAGTCTTAAAAAAAGTTTCTCTTTGTGTATAATCTTTGAATTTTGGATGAACTCTGTGACTTTATACAAACAACATGCATTAAAAGGAAGTTACCTCCAGATCATCCTCCACAAGGACAACCGTTGAGTACGAAAAGGTGTTGAAAACCTGGTTGAGCGCCCAACGGTAATGCCGCGAGATTTTGTAGTAACCCTGGAACTTCTTATGCTGTGTGGGCACTGAGATATCTGAAAGATCAGGCTGTTTGATATGGGTCAGCTGACTGCCATACGAGGCGATCACATCAGATGTTTCTGCGTGTCCACAGTCCTGGCTCACTATGATTGGGTAGAGCTCGGCCGACGGTCGGTGCTCAAAGAGTTTGTCAAGACAGCGTTTCACTGTCACACGATTACAGGCAATGACTAAAATAGGGATGACCACCGGAGATGAATGTTCTACATTTTTATTAGCAGCTGTCACACCGCTTTTGTTCTCCCAAACTGTCCACTGGTTCTGGATTTGCAATAGGATCTTCCTCTGCGATTCAAGCTCAGCTTCAAATCCATCGGCTAGGCGCATCACCTCATTCATTATACTTGCGAACTTGCCTCCTACGGCTCCGTCCCCAGTGTTACTATGTTCTCCATGGCTGTCCAGAGACCCTTGACTGGAGGGGCGTCTCATGAAGACAAATATAAGAATGACATTCCACGCTACAAATATAAAAGCACCAAAAATAATAAGAGACCTTCTCTTGGGGAGCATGGCCTGATGCGGGATGGGACAGAGGATTCAGGAAGGAAGAAATGGATGGAGATATAAAGCGGGCATTTAGAACAGGAGGGTTTGATGGATGGATGGCTAAGAAGAGTCTTGTAGATCTTTGATTTTTTTTTTTCACATGCTTCGCATTATATTTTTTTAGTCAGTTGTTACAAAAGTAAAAGAAATTTGTAACAGAAGGTGAAAATAAGGCATATTCCAGGTTTCAGGATTGCGATATAGGTGTTATGGTCCAAAGTGACAAAGTGACTTTCAGCACGACCTGTAAAATAAGCAAGATAAACAGAGAAAGGTCACATGTAATGTTTGCCAACTGTTCTGAATCAATATATTAAATTCAAGTTTAAGAACCAAACAGTGGAGAAAGCTTCAGTTTTTTCTCATTTGAATCACTTTTGCGTCCGTGTGAATGTTACAAACTAAGAATGGAAAAATGTCCACTGCTTTTGCATTTCAACGGTGCTGGTGCACAATTGTGCATAAAAACGTTTGATTTAATGCAAAACACTTAATTTAGTCAAGAGGGTCTATCTTTTTTATACAGTTATGTGTAGCATAGTTTTTATTTACAACATTGTACATTTTCACTCTTTACACATTATTCACTGAAATCTCAAATGACATGTGGTACATATTATTTAAGTATCACTGAAATATACTTTTTAATAATATTTTGATTTTGTACTATTTTCATATATTTACACATTTTTCATTTTAGTTAAGGTTTTCATGATCTGTGTTTTTGTCAATTCTATTAGTGAGTTTTAAAGATATGTCTATGCAGTTTTTATGTTGGTTTAAGTTTAGCTTTTACTGTATCAAGTTAAACTAAGGAAAATGATCATTGTTTTTTCTGATAATCCATGCATTAGGGGATTTTATATGAAACCGTGACCGTGTCCTGTAGTGTAATCCTATTTTAAACATTTTGTATAATTATAATACGATTTAATTAATTGGGAGACAACATCACATATTTGTACTTCAAAATCTGTTATTTAACTGCAACTAATTTGACTGCTACTTCGTTTAAATAATTTAAAATAAATAATTTAATAGCTAACGTGTGATTTAAAATGATGGAAAATAAATAATGACTTTTTAGAGCATACGTAAGCTAATTTACACATGTCAACTAGCTTGCATTATGAGAATGTATCATGATTAGGCTATGCAATACACCTTGGCTTGAAATGATACTAAGATCAGTTTCAAAATGCACTAAAGTTATTGTTCAATTAGTCAATGTTATTGGTTGAAAATATATGAAAGGTACCCCATTGTATAGTAGTATGCATTGAACAAATATGGAAACGCAACAAGCAGGCTCGTCAGTCGATCAATAATCTCACCTGTAGCTCATCCAGAACTCCCCCAACCTCAAACAGTAACTAAACCCACCTGTTTATCACCCATGAGAGATGAGTTTAAGCAACACAGAAATGCGTCTAAATGCCAACATGCATATCTGACTTACACAAGTCAACGCGCACTCATACTCTGTCATGTTTCCCGTCTTCCTTAGTCTGCCTGTACACTCATATTTCCGTCGCTTCAAAGATTATGTCCAATTTCAACTAACTAATCCAAGTCAATTATTTGAATATGTGTGGATTAGACGTTGAATAATCCTTAATTTGAAGAGCTGTAAACTTCCGTCGCGTCTACGGTACCCTTCAAGCTTCGCTCAAGAATGTAATAGAGTTCTTGGCTTGACTTCCGGGTGGCGTCATTTTTAGGAAGTCCCTCCCCCGCCTGTTTACCTTTAAGGAGAAGATACGTGTACATAAAACGCATTTCCTTTGTGTCCATGAAAAGTGAAAGGTTAGAGAAAAGGTTTTGACCTCTGGATATTTGTGGCTCCATAAGGAGTCATGGTTTTTACGCTGATCCCGCGAAATGTATTAGCAGTGTCTCTGGTGACTGAGGATCTTATTACAAGAGCAACCAGAGGTGGAAAACAGGTGGCCTTCTGAATTAGAAAAGCATATGTGCCCGACATAAATCGGTACTTGTGAATTTTCTAAATCATGGAATCGTCCCACATTCACTGTAAACCTGGATATATCAACTGTGATGTGATATGAAGTTGACCTAACAGTCAAGAATATAATAGAGGCAACTCCCCTGTTGAACCACATTCATTTTCTCTAGTGTAGCCTAGTATTACACAAAAATATGGCATTGTTAAAGGATTGATTAATGACATGCAAATGGAACTTATATTCATATATCATTACAAATATAATTTGGAAATATATTGGGCAAAAGGTGAATGCTGTGGTCTTGTTTCAAGAGAGAATGGAGTCTGAGACTAAACATTTAGGTTTCTTCATAATAAGCTTTAATTTTGCTTAATAGTTATACATATTTCAAAAGCATGCTGTGACTCTTATAAATAAATTTGCTACAATGTTGTTAGCACAGTCTCACAATCATCCTAGAAAAAAAAAATCACAGGAGCAAAAATGCTATTTCAATTAATATCAGCACAATAACAAGTGGCCTCTTTATTGAGACACAAAGTCAAACATGCACAATGTAAAAAAAATTATATGATCAATAAGTTATGACAACATGTTTAAGTTAAGAAATATAAAAAAGTATGTTATACAAGATTCAACTTATTCAAGTCAGTTTAATGTCATTTAAGTTTAAATGACTTAAACATCCAAGTTGATTGTACTTTAAAAAATTAAATAAGCAACTTTTTCTATTTCTTTTTTTACAGCATCAGGTACCTGATCATAAAGGCTGCTCAGGCAGCAGTTTTTGGTATAACTTCTTTATAAAACTGCAAAAACAGTGCCAAAGGTATAAGTTGTATAAAACACTGCAATATACTCGCTGAAGTGCATGAAAGAACATTTATTTATTTATCTATCTATCTATCTATCTATCTATCTATCTATCTATCTATCTATCTATCTATCTATCTATCTATCATCTATCTATCTATCTATCATGGGAAAGTGCATTGGTGTGAAGTGCGTCTCGTGGTCTACAGCAGAAGACTCATTCCCCGGGTTCAGCTCCTTGATCTTCATGATGTTCAGAGGTGCAGTTAGGGGGTTTGACACACCCACTCAACTTATCACACTACAAAAGAAGAATATAGTATTGTTATGATATTATAGCCACCATCATTGCATAAAGCATGCTAAAAGCAGTAATTTCTTAAACTCTTGTAGCCCTAATAATTCATTAAAATATTGCTTAATGCAGCAGCAACCTCTTCATTCAACTTCATTCAACAGTCAATAATTTTATGTAGGAAAATCCTCATTTATTCTGATTTATGAATAGCATGTCATCATGTGTTATCTGGAGATTTATTTAAAAGTTAGAATTGAATTGATTGTACATTTTGGGCAAAAAAAATAAATAAATGAGTTATGTAATGGCCTAATAGGCTATGTCACCATTCTTTTGTGTATTAGTGATGCTTAAAACTATCATATAAAAAGTGTATTTAGTATAAAATAATATTAAAAGTATGTAATATATAATAATCATCTGTTCTGTGTAAAAAAGGTCGAGTGTGAGTGAGTGACCTTTTCAATCCACATTAGACTTGACTTACATCCGGTTGAAGCTGGTTCATCCTGCATATTCCAGGTTGGGTTCGCACACTGTCTGACACTGCAGTTGTAAAATATATCAGTTTGTCCTTTAAATACCACAATAAACCAAGAGAAAACACCTCATTCAGTCTACTGCGGTTCAGCGTGCTTATACTCTGAGCGCAAACTACACAAACACATAAAGTCCATGGATTATCCAAGTTTAGTTTTCGTAAACGCGTGCCATCCAGTCGAAGAACCGGGTTGGTTTTGGATGAAACACCATAGAGTTGAGATTTAAAAGCAAAACCATAGTCCGACATAACGTTCGTCTTTGCATCGGATGCTTTCATTGGCATTCGGTTGTCAAACATTGTAGAGTTTTTAAACCCAATCGATTTTCCTGAACAGGACGTTTCAAACCGCGCTGTAACGGACAGAACTCCGGGAATATCCACTCGCTCCCTGTGAAACACGAATGCCCAAAGAGAGCGAAAATAAGATCTGACCGAATCTCCTCCGGTCCTTCCCAGCCCGTAGACTGACGCTGGAGACCGCTTCTTGTTGGCCTGTTTTCGGGCGAGGATATTCCCCTGACACCGGAGAACAGCCGACAGGGCTGAGGCAGAGGGTGTCGAAGCCATCGCAGACTTTCTTTTGGGACTCTCGTGATTCTTTTAAATGCAGTCCTTATCAATATTTCCCTGTAAAAGCACCTTTTGATGTTAAGAGACCCCTGAGCACGAATCTGACTTTGAATGACTCAATGCCCAACTTATAAAATCGTTATACAGGGCTTGCGTCAGACAGGGGTGTTGGTTATCATCTTGCCTGTGGCCAATATCGTGTGTTCTTCACATGCCCTCCTCGTGTACACAGTGTGATAATTACAGCTTTTTTAAAAGGAGGACACTAATTATTAAGAAAATCAATTTACCCAAATTCTCTTAAGTCGTATAGCCTAGACTAGACCTCTAGCACAATTCTACCGTGTTGAAAGTAGGCTATTGCGTAAAAACTAATTGCGTTACATTACTTTTATGGAAAGTCATGCATTACGTTACTTTCTGCGTTACTTTTTCTTTTGGGAATCTTGCGATCCTTTTAAATGCAGTCCTTATCAATTTTCCCAGTAAAATCACTTTTTGATTTTAAGATCTTAAGAGACCCCAGCACGATCTTTGAATGATCAATGCCCAACATATAAAAGCGTTATACAGGGCTACCTTCTAGCACAATTCGACTGGGTTGAAAGTATATTGTGTAAAAACAAATTGCGTTGCATAGTTACTTTTGTGGAAAGTCATGCGTTACGTTACTTTCCGCGTTACTTTTTCTCACATGGACTGGCTTGTTTGTTTTTCAAAAAAAAAAAAAAAAATCAATTTTGGCAAATGCAAAGACCCCTTCTCACATGCAAATTCTCAACTTTCAGATGTTCTGGCATTCTGGATTAGCCTGGTTCAACCAGACTCTAGTTCATTTCATTTCGTAAAATGAAATTGAGCGGAAGTGCGTAGGAGGGCGCAGCCAGGCTAATTCTGGATTGCAGAAGAATATGAATGCAAGAGAAGAAAGTTCAACACGCATACTTCAGCAAAAAGAAGAAGAAAGAAACACAAATGTTCAAGGCCAAATGCAGGCTATGGTTGAAAAGGATAATCAAAGGTCAGCAGTAAATAAATCGGTGAGATTAAAGTGAGATTAAATACATAAAGTGTTGTGTAATTTAATATATTTAATTATTGCTGGTTTGTGTAATATCTTACTGTTTATTAATTTTGAGTAATACTGAAACAGATTTGGCAATGTGTGGTGAGTAGAACTAAGAACTAAAATCATGTTTACACAGCACACACAACGCCTCTGCACTTACGATTTCTCTCAACATGGGGACAGGTGTCAGTCAATAAATGAGAAGAACAAAGTAACTTGCGCTGTACTTCTTTTTTTTTTTTAAATAAGATATTTTGTTGTAAATGTAAAGGTAATGTGTTACTTTACTAGTTGCTTGAAAAAAGTAATCTGATTACATAACTCAAGCAACTTGTAATGCGTTACACCCAACAGATATATCATTTATTAATAAACTTTTTTCCACCTTGTATATTTACAAAAAGAAATGTGTATGTTTTAATAAGAAAGGCCAGAACCCCCCACACCCCCACCTTGCTTACACAGACCATTATAGAGCCAAAATATGATTGAGCCTATTGACCTATTTTAAAAACATACTCATGAACTTGACTGACTGACAGATACTGGCTACGTTGTATAAATAAGCATTTGTGCTTTTGCACATATGTGAGGACATAATGTCCCATATAACCTATATTTTGAACTGTTTAGAGGACAATTGGACAAGCAGGCCTGGGTTTTAGAAGAATAAAATCAGACTTCTTAAACAGTGTTAAACTGTAACTTGTTAATGCAGTGTACAGATCGTACACTGGAGGGCATCTGAGCTCATTTTTGATGGTTATGTAGGAAATAGAGATTTCCTATGGATTATGTGACACAGAACTGCTAGAGAAACTGACAATTTTGTGGCGCAACACATGTATCTATATTGTTCAACAGTGATAGAGATCATTTGCGAGTCTGGCTGGATGCGTGCCATTGACATTAACAAAATATATAATGTTGTAAAACTTATAAACTTATAATTGTAGGTTCACTCTAAAAAAATATAAAAATGTAATTTATTGACTGAATTAAACCTTTTAAGTTGCAAAGATTATTCACATAACCATTACATCAACAATTATGTGAAATTTAAACTGACATTTGTTTGACACTTCATTTATCTATTATGTTGGAAAAACTATTTGGAATTAGTAATCATGTTCATGCTACAAATTATAGGCTATTGAACTATACTATTTTGTACTGTACTATACTATTACTATACTACTTATATACACAGTTTGTTGGTTGTGTCTTAATTTTTGAGCTGTTATTTATTTTGGTGAAATTTATTTTCAGCAAAATAGTTGAAAGTGTATCACGCAACCAGAAAATGGTCTAAAACGTTTATTATTTTCCGCTTTTTTTGCCTCTCCCCATTTGTGCAAATGAATAAAAAACTATGAACACACATTATAATTTTACAATTAAGAGTATGTTATTAACATTATGTGCAGCATAATTCAAAGAATTACATTTCTAAATAATGTCTTTCCAACATGAGAAAGAACATTTCTGCTGTCATGTACATTTTCAGACTGATATTATTTGCATTGGTCGTCACGCTGTCACATTAATTGTCACATTTTTGTCTTTCCGCGTCAATACCACAAACCATATAGATACAAAATACCTTACAGTACATTAAAAAACATAATTCTTCATTAAATCAAAGGGGATAGTAATAATGTACAATAGTAGTATTATTTAATATTTTAGAAAAAAAATAAAATTGATTCACAGTTTAGAAAATTCATCATTGGTCCTATTATAGACCAAAGCATTCTTATCCTAGGGCGAAATTTCTTCTAAATCCAACGCACATGGCACCCTTTAGCGTCAATATAACACGCACAGAGCTTTGTTCCGGTCTGGGGTAGGGTTAGGGTTAGACCACTAGGAGGCGCCTTCTGGCCAATATATATATATGCGTCTCATATTGACGCTAAAGGGTGCCATGCGTTTTGGATGTAGACAAAATGTCAAAAACGTCAGTATATGACGCCTCGGGATGAGACGTCATCATAGCATCTTGTTCTTACAGATCTTTGCATAATAATCTCTCAGTCTGTGTAAAATACATCCATGCTAAACTGCCTTCAGTGTACGAAAGGTTCAAGTTTTTCCAGTTCATTCCAATCGAGCCAGTCTGAAGCTTCTAACACAAACACATACAAAACATGCAGTGTTGTGTTCAATGCAACAGGCTCAACTATAAGAATTTAGCTTGTTTGCTTTGCCCGACATCCTTCTTAGGTGCTGTGTGTTTTCATCATCCCTTAAGGTGATTGGCTTGGAGTAGTTAGGTTCTGGATTGGTGTAACTGGTTTATGCATAAAGGGCATCACCACAAAGGTGAAGATGCCGATCAGCATCAGAGCCACGGTGATTACGATAATGGCTCCAAGTACGGCATAATAGCACTGATTGGAATACATTAACCTTCTCATGCGACCCCTCATCCTGCTGGGCGGTCTTCCCACGTCGATCATAGTCGCCTGGCCCAGACCTTCCTCCATGACTCCAAGTGGGTTACCGGCCTGCTCCTCCTTCTTCTTTAACACCGGCAGGTGTAAGCTGGTCTTAATAAAGCTGTTTGGTGTGGGATTCTTAAGGATGAGTTTACCCTGGCTGCGTTTAAAGCGCACCGAAAGCGCCCTCTGCATGTCGGCCGGAAGTTTCCGGAAGATCTCTTCGTTATTTCCCAAGTGAGGCAGATCTCGGCCGTGTCGGATTACCGTCAGCTCCCGACAGATGGGGCAAATCAGCATCTTGACCTCGGGAGAATTGACGTTGATGCGTGCCAGGCACTCCAGGCAGAACGTGTGTCCGCAGGAAAGTAACTTGGGAGTCTTGAAGACGTTGTCGAAGCTGCAGAAGCACACAATGCACTCGGTGTCTTCCAGGTCGTCTTTGGGTTGCTCCGTCTTGTCGTGTCCAGGCTCGTGGTCGCGATCTCGCCTCCTTCCCTCCTCGCTCCGACCCCGCTGTTGCTTTACGCTCTCCTTCCGGTCCCGTTCTCTACCCCGGCTACCTTCACGACGCCGGTTTTCCGCCTCGTTGCTGCGGCTTCTCCTAAGAGGCTTGTGTCGTCGCTCTGTAGTTCCCAGGTTGAAGCTGCCCTTACTTGTAGGCTTGACATTGGGCCCTTTTTTGCTGCCCTGGGGTTTCTCTTTGCCATCGCTCATTGTGTAGAGCCTTGGATCCACAGGAGTGGATTAGGAGAAAATGGAAGTGTCGTGCGGAAAAGCCTGCAAGGGGACATGAAGCAATACGCCATCAGTCTAGATTACAAATACAGTCGATGGAATTTACATTCAACAGGCACATGGTTTCAAAAAGTGCCGCATGACCTTGCACAAGAACAAACTCAGGTCACCAAAGTGTACAGCTCTGCAACTCAAAGGTGCAGGCCGTAAACTGAAGTTTGCCATTAGCAGTCAAGTGTGATGAGAACATTGCTTGTTGGTTATTGCTTGCTTTTCTTCGTATTCTGTTATAGGCCTTGAATGGCCTTGTGTTTCCTCTATCTTTCATGTTTGAAATCGATTTGACATCGACCCATATAAAGCCAAATTTCGAAGGCCTCTAAATGATCAACATGATCAAATCTTTGATAAAAAAACGTGCTTCCATGCCATCTCATTGATGGACTCTAAAAAAATGCTGGGTTGTTCACCCCAACTTTGTGTCAAATATGGACAAACCCAACCATTGGGTTACATTTTTTTTAATGACATTTTTAACCAAACGTTTGGGTTTAAACCGTTGGGTTTACCCAAAATTGGGTTAAAACAACCCAGCATTTTTTAGTTTATCCTTTTCCCTTTTAGTATCACTCTAAAAACGTCCACCTTCAGGTTGTGATTCACCACACGTGTCTTTTTGCTTTAAAATCTTTATTTAGAAAGAAAGCGTAATAATAACTTTTATATCATTAGAAATATTACAAGATGAACATTTACCGGACTGAAGCAACTTGCACTCTAAAAAATGCTGGGTTGTTTTAACCCAACTTTGGGTCAAATATGGACTAACCCAGCCGTTGGGTTAAATTTTTACATTACATTTTTAACCCAACATTTCGGGTTTGTCCATATTTGACCCAAAATTGGGTTAAAACAACCCAGCATTTTTTAGAGTGTGGTTTACTGGATTATCCATATAATACATACATACACAAAAAAATTTTTTTATGTAAAAATGTCAAATTTGATTTTAATATGGTTTTTGAGGAACGCTTATTTGTACATCTTTCATTTCATCTTTCAATTCATTTGAATTTTTGGCCATATATATTTTAAGAAACTGCCAAATTGACAATAATGACAATAAAATGTTGGTGTTTTTTTTCCTCAAGTCAAGTGTGAGCGCCATATTCTCACCATATGAGCCATAAAAGATGATACTCAACAAAAACACATATGCAATTTAGATGTTCAGTCAAATTCTCCATTTAAAAAAAAATAGATTTTTCAGATGATTATTTCATATGTCAGGCTTTACAGGGTTTACTTTACATAATTCTGAGTGATCTTGTTCCATATATTACAATGTTTTATGTGATCTTGGGTTAGTAATTAACACAATGAACAATTGTAAACCTCAGGCTACCATTCTTATTTGCATATTTATGAGGTTGATAACATCTCAGCGAATATGGCCGGGTCAATCGGTTTGTAAATTGCTAAAACAATACTCGAGCAAAGCACACGGTTGCCAGGTTTATGCAACAAAACCAGCCCAAGCACTGAGGTATTTATGAACGCCTGTCGCTAAACAACCTGCCGTTGTATTGTACCATATTGTTTCACATTGGCACCATTGGCCAGGGGATAACACGCTAACCAACTGTCTAATTGACAGGGAATTTCAAATAAACCCAGAATTAGTTTGTAAATCCCATAAGAGAGTTGACCTAAACTCAAAATCTGACTCTGCAGGAATGCCAACCAGAATATCAAGTTTTTACAGGAAGGTGCAGATCCCAGTTTCATTCTGTTTGCTTATAGTTAAGCTTTAACTGTAAATCAAGTCAAGAAACTCATGAAAAAAATAAGGAATGTCTACAGCAAACAATTACATCATTAAATGTTATATAATGAACATGTAAAATCCAGGTTGAATTTAGTTGTTCAGAATTAGCACATGTTCGTGCACTCAGTTCTATCTATAAATGTTATACCAACTGGCCACATTAAACACAACACCTTTATTTTTAGGATTGAGCAGAAAGCAGAACTGGTTATTTTCATTATATGAATGTATTTGGACTAAAGGACTTCCCAAATTAAAAGCACACACCCACAGGTTTAGCACAAACCAGATCAAGTCTGTTAAGACCTGTCACTTAACTATGACAATAACACACCCTTCATTTAAGATCAAGACACACTTTTTACATAAGTTTGTCCAAGATTGTTTGTTAAAGTCAGTTCCTTTAGGCATATACCTTAAAGATTAAAAAATGGCTTAAAAAAGGCCATTATTTCCCCAAAAAATGAACAGAGAAGACTTGATTTGCGTAACATTGCAATATGTGGGGCAATTTGTCACACTGGAATAATAGAGTTAAGTAGCATTTTTAAATAAATTACAAAATGAAACATACGTGTGACAAAATATACAAGCAAAATATTAGCCAAAATATAAATTTTAGTTTGGAGGACAGAATTCACAAAAGAAAAGAGGTTTGAGCTAGGTGTATTTCTTTTTAGTCTTTTACTTGCTCAAAATATGAAATATTCATCAGATGACAGAAGCCATTTAGTAGATTGTGTACAACAAAAGTTTTGATTGTGTCGATAATTTAGAGGCCATAGAAATTTGAGGATAAAATATGTTACAGTATAGGCTATAGAATTAAGAATGACCCTCGGTCAATATGCAAAAGAGAGAGTATATATTTGTGTAATTGGACTGTTGACTCAAACCCTTACAGTTGTAATAGCCATGTGACAACACTGTTTAAAAAAAAAAAAAAAAGGTCGCTGCCTTAATTTTTTTTAAGTCATTTCAACGACTCCAAAATAGTTGAAACTTGTATAACAAATTTTTAAAAACTTATTTTGGTGTGTTAAAGCAATGTAAAAACAATTGTTGCCATAAATTATTGATCATATCTTTTGTTTTTTTACAGTGAACTAGCCCATGTCTCCATATTGGATAAGTTAAAACCACAAAAAAGTGTACAATCTACCTCTGAGCCGAAGAGCAGTTGAACCCAGATGTTTAGGTCCCTCTAAAGTTTGCCTGGCTCCAGAAGCACATATTCCAGGTGTGCATCCAACAACGCAACGTGAAAGGTGTCCAACCCAGTCCTTTCTGTCTTCCTCAAAACATATCACTGCAGTTTTCATCATATGTTAGTTAACGTTGGCAAAGTATCTCCACCTCTTCTGCATGTTTATCTCCCTCCCTCCCTCCCTCCCTCCCTTTACCATGTCATACCTGTTAAACTTGTCCAGTTGCCATTTACACCATTATGAATGCGAGGAATCCACTGACTAATACTTTGTTTTTCTGACCTTGAATGAAACCGAATCCACAAAGTGTACTTTTCAATGCTCTAAAAAAGTGTCATCGATGTACTCCAGGACATATAACTGGAAATATGCTCCATAACAATAAGGAAGTTTAAGATCCCAGGACGTCACTGATAAATTAAGTGACTAGGCTAATGCTATTCACACACACATCCACCATGATAAGGGTTGAGGAAGCACTATCCCATTCCAGCATGTAGACATTTTGTGTTATAAAGACTGATTCTGTTTGTTGTGGTGTGAATCTCCTTCACTTTATCACACATAGACGTTGTACCTGTACTTTTATCTGGGATTAAGTGTTGTTAACACACTATTGCATGTTTCACAGTAAGATAGCCTAGAAGAGCAGAAATGCCATTTCTGGATGACTGGATAACCCGTATGCAAAATTCACATGGCTGCATGTGGAGGATCAGATTTCCAGACTGTTTTTAGATTAAAGGGCAGATGTAGCGGTTAATTGTAGTCGCTGGTAGGTTTGAACAATAAAAGGTGATCGCCTCAGATAAGTAACCGGTTTGTAAATTATGGAAAACTAGCTTATTCTGGCTGGTGTTTACTAGGAATGAAGGTCCCACTTTATATTAAGTGGCTTTAAGTACTATGTACTTACATTTAAAAATAAGTACAATGTACTTATTGTGCTCATGTTGTATTGTAAATCACTTTTAGAGCTATTGAGGTGGGATACAGGTAAGGTTAGGGACAGGTGTGGTGGTATGGGTAGGTTTAAGGTATAGGTTTAAGTGTAAGGGATGGGTCAGTTGTGTAATTACAGATGTAATTACATAAATTAATTACGGCTGTAATTACATGCTGGTATTTTTTAAAACTAAGTACAATGTAAAAACATGTATGTACACAATAATTCCTTTGTATCAAATTATTAATTTAAATGTAAGTACATAGTACTTAAAGCCACTTAATATAAAGTGGGACCGGAATGAATGTTTGGTTTTAAAAAAAACGTGAAATGCAGAGGGACTTTAATAGGGGGCCGTTCACACAACACACTATCATGACAATATGGTGACCAACAGTCTTGATTTTATATCCATTTTTTATAAAGTAATGAAAATGTCCCGGTTTTCAAAAAACTGCTGGGAAAGATCAACTGAAGGAGGACGAAGAAGAAAAACAGGATAAAGAGGAAGAAAACTATATATATATATATTGTTAGTTCGTTTTTGTAAGTTTGTGAGGGCTATTTTTGTTCAATTTGGAGGTATTTCTTTTAAGTTATTTATATATTTATTTTTCTAATACAGAAGATACATTATTTTTATATTCATTATTTTTGAAACCTGTCATAATAAAACATGTTGAGTAAACTCTGAAAAGCCTATCTGAATTTGTGTCCTGTAATATAACCATTTTCTATCCATACGAGGAGGCATAGCCTACTTTAAATGTATTGAAATTAAAGGGGTGATGAACTGAGAAATCAAATTTTCCTACGCTATCTCACTACCAATTCGTACGAATTCGTACGAGTGATTAAAAAGTGGCTAATTCGTACTAATTCATACGACCTCACTCGTACAAATTCGTACGATTTGCCTAAACCCACGTGATGGGTAGGTTTAGGGGCGGGGTCAGGGGTAGGTCACTCGTACGAATTCATACGAATTGCCCAATTCGTGAAATACGTACGATTTAGCAAAAATCGTACTAATTCGTATGAGTGAGGTCGTACGAATTGTTACGAATTAGCCACCTCGTAAAATTCGTATGAATTCTCATGAGATCGGGTTGAATTTTCCTTGAGCTTTTGACATCTAAGAGGTCATCATATTATAAGAATATCCTGTAAGTTTCCTGTGTGTTTTGAAGGAGGCGTAACTTTGGAGACGCTCTGAAAGGAAGCTGGGGTTTTGTGCTTTCAAAGCTAGCTCGCTTTGCTAGCCTCTCTGAAATTGCCTACCCTGCCTTTAAATGGATTTCTGGTGAAAAAAACCTTCCTGTTGACATTAACAGTCAATTTTACTACTTTAGCTACTCATTGACTAACGGCTAATTTCGTCTGTTTGTCTGTTCATCTGGGAGCTTCGGGGGAAAATACAAATTACTGGAAAATATCAATCATTGACTGCTGGCTATATATTAAACTATATGGCACAAAGTTTCAGGGGACAGAATTATGCCTTTCTAGGGTAAATGTAAATAAATAAACAATCAAATGTAAAAATTAAAAATCGAATTTTACATGAATTTTCTGCTTTTGGATTATGCTGATCCATACTCAAATACAAACTGCAGGATGTGCCTGTTGTAACACATTGACTTTCTTCATTAATAAATACATTTTATTGCACAATCCTCTCCTTTTATATTGATATATCCATGGTTTGTGTCATTTTATTTACTTTATTATACCAATTTCTGAGTATTAACATTTACTCCTGGCTCCCTTCCCTAAACTTATTGTATTTTAGACAGTCACCTAAGGGCAAAAGCCTTGACAGACACGTGCTCGAGGTTTAGCATGACACTGAAAACAGTCTCTGTGTATTTAAGAAAACATTGTTTCCTTAATAACCAACAATTGTGCGACCTTTGATAACATTCTTCTCTTAATCCACATCAAGCCATACCTCTTTAATAGTTTCAGAGGTCACATGATATAAAACAGCATATCTGAATACCAATAAAAACCACGTGAATACTTGTCAACAAAAATATATTTCCTCATTAAAACACATGAAAACAACTTTAGCTGAAACATAAAATTAACGAGTCGCCAAAATATTTTACACAGGACCAGCAAATTACCGAACGAAGTGTCTGATAATTTCCAGAGGGACACTGCCGGAGATTCTGCCATTGCTGATCTCCTGTCTGTCTGTGACTCAGATTCAGTGTCATATTGGGCGGAAGAGTCTCTTGCTCGTCTTATCCCAGGATCAGCCCAGTTCTTCACGGGCTTTGCCTTGTTTGCGGGGCATCTTTTTACTGCTGCCGTCCTCAAGTTCTTTGTTCTTATAATAATGAGGAGCCACTTCCAGAAGCCAGCTGTTATCAATCTCTATCACCTAAAAACAGATTTTTGTATAGAAAAAGGTTTAGAATAAAGCATATTTGTACATTTTCTGAAGAATAATTAAAGGGACACTCCACTTTTTTGGGAAATAGGCTCATTTTTGATTAATAGGCAAATAATCAAGAAACTTTACTGCCGTACCATGAGTGCAGCAGGCGTAATGATATGAGTGCCTAAAAATAGGCATTTTAAGAACCAGTACCAATTATGACCAATTCTGATTTAGTACAGTTATGAAGAAGATCAGATATCAATAAGCTTTGGATTCAGCTGATGGTGTATGGTAACACCCAACTATTGTGATGTCTGAACCATATCAGAAGGATAGTTTAGTTACAGAGAGTTTAATTACAAATCAAAACAGTTTTATTTAATAATGGACAAAACCCAAGCGAAGTTGAATTTAGATTTAACATAAAATTGCAATCCCTCCTCCGATGATGAGAAAAACCAGCTATGCTTGAGCGTTCTGTCCTATTTAGGCTCACATCTTTAGTGACACCACATCCTGGTTTTGGTTCGTTTAGCAATTGCACCAGAGTTAATTTTAATCTAACCAAACCTGTCAAGGGTGAACACACCTTTAGGAGTGTATTTTAAGGTGATGCTATGCGCTTGTTTACAGGCTCAAGTCAAAAAGTACCAGTCACACAAAGTATGATTTTTATCTTCAATAATATTAGTTATATCTTATATATCTTATTCAAAATACAAAGAATGTGAAGGACGACTCCATACCTGTCTCATGAACTCTTTGGTGGTGAAGACCAGCTCGTGATAGATCATCCAGCGTGGCTGTTCCTCGAAGAGTGAGCTGTTGGGATGGACGTAAACAGTCTGCTGGTGTTTGACTGTTTTATAACCCCCTTTACTCAAGCGTGCTGTGTGGTAGAAATATCCCGCAGTCACAGCCTGGAAGAAAAAGCAAGCACATCTATATATAATGATCCGGTGAAGTTGCACTACGTTGTATTAATCCTTATTACAAATGCTCTCTGAAATACATGATTCTGATTGGTCAATCGTGGCATCCTACAGTCAAATAATTTTCATATGATCACATCGTCTTTTAAAAAACGTATGATTCAAAGTGACAAAGACAAAAAAACAAAGACATGAGAGACAGATTTAATCTTAAAATGATATTTTTAGTAAAGTTTGATTGAATTTCCCTGTTCAAAATTTCCCCCTCAGAATAAAACACTGTAACCTGGGCTAAAAAGATGTAAACCTCGGGTTAAGTACAATGTTAAAAGCCCTAAAGAGACAAGCAAGCACTTACTTTAATAGTTGACCTTGCAAATTGTGCCACAAATTCTTCAAACTTTTTAGCCAAAGGCCACAAGTAAAATTGTCAAAACTTAAAGGGAATTCAGTCTATAAAGCTAAATTCATGTATACAAAAATGCTTGTAAGAATAGGCTTAAAGGAGTAGTTCACTTTTGAAAAAACTTTTGCTGATAATTTACTCACCCCCATGTCATCCAAGATCTCCATGTCTTTCTTTCTTCAGTCGAAAAGAAATTAAGGTTTTTGATGAAAACATTCCAGCATTTTTCTCCATATAATGGACTTCAGTTGGAACCAAACGGTTTCAAGGTCCAAAGGACAGTTTCAGTACAAACTGCAAACTGTTCAAAGGGCTTTAAACGATTCCAGATGATGAATAAGGGTCTTATCAAGCGAAACGATTGGTCATTTAATAAATAAATAACAAAGTTTAAATTTTATAAGCTTAAATGCTCGCATTGCTCTGTACTGTGACGCATGTT